TCATCTAAATCGATTCAGCGGTTTAAGCGTGAAGAGGTAACAGACAGACTGACATGTCATGAGTTACTTTCGCATTTATAATATTAGTATGGATTTACTCGCATATCTCTTAATGCTGATATCAAAATTTCTGTATTATATCAATCCACTTGCTTTGCTACTTATCGCATCATTTACCCTAATTTTTAATTTTACGGCCTGGCAATTGAAATGGCAATAATTAATTCAAAACCAAGATTAAGTCATTTAAAATATAGTAAATCGAATCGAGATAAATATTACGACGACACGTTTGGCCCAGTTTGTAGTGACCCTACTTGCTGTGCCAGCGGTCACAGGTTCGAGTCCCGCGGGGGGTATTCATTTGTATGATAAGCACGAATGTTTGTACTCCAATCATGGGTGTTTATATTTATAATATATATGTATTTAAATTTATATGTATGTAGTGTATCAACTATCTGGTATCCATAACACGAGCCTCGTAGCTTACCATAGAAATACATGGTGCTGTGTGTTAATGTCCCAACATATTTATATTCTGTTGAGCATATTACATATTATTATATCTTTTATAATTTAATAAACGCTTTTGTCTTACAGCTTTGTTTTAGTTCCATTAAAACCTATATTATAAAAAAAATTTTTTTGTAAATATAAATATGATATTTAAGTTAATCTCCAAAAGTCCGATTGTAACGACTGCAGCATAGAAACCCATCCGTGACTCTAACATAAGTACCTACTTACATTTATTGTGGGCTAATTCAATAGACTTCAAATTATATTTACTACTTACTAGTACTTGTTTATGGCAAAATAAATCGCGTGCTCATTAAAACCTGTGGTAGGCACATCTTTTTAATACTTTTACATTTTTGAGTAAGACCTTTTTATTAACCTTTTCATAAAATACGTTTTTGAAAGAATTGTTAAAAAAACCGGCCAAGTGCGAGTCGGACTCGCGCACTAAGGGTTCCGTACAATTATCTATAAAAACGGCAAGAAAAATCATGTCTGTTGTATGGGAGCCCCCTTAAATATTTATTTTATTCTGTTTTTTATTATTTGTTGTTATAGCGGCAACAGAAATACATCATCTGTGAAAATGTCAACTGTCTAACTATCTCGGTTCATGAGATATAGCCTGGTGACAGACGGACAGACGGACGGATAGCGGAGTCTTAGTAATAGGGTCCCGTTTTACCCTTTGGATACAGAACCCTAAAAAAAAGAAAGTAGTGACATTAAAATTGCGTACAATTATATATGCAGGATTTTTATTTCTATTTTAAATCAAATAGATTTAAATAATCTAGTATTGCTGCAACGGCCATACCTGTTATTAAATAATGAAAGACAGTAGTTAGCTTTAACCGATGTTAAAAAAAGAAAAGTGTTTCGCAGTATTTGAATTAGAGAGTTTGGTTTATGATTCTTGGATATTTATATAGAAACATGTTATTTTAAGTCATTTTTTGTAACCAGTATGGGTCTAAATTACGAAGTCCTGAGTTCCAGTTCCAGTTAGGGCAAAAAGCACTAATGCCTAATCTAATGAAAAATGTTAATTATACATAGCTCTTGCAACATAGAGAGCAGATGAACTTTTCATCCATATAGTTTCGGTCATATATCGATTTTCCTCCGGTAGCCCAAAACCAAAAGGCGGCCATGAAAAAGAGAATGCTCTTGTGCTTACGCAAAACATTAACTGTCTCTAGTTCTTAAAGACCGACCTCCGTTACGGAAAATAGGTCAAGGGATTATATCCATACGTAATAATATAAATGTGAAATTGTATTTGTGTTTGTTTGTCCTTCTTACACGTCGAAACTGAGTGAATGATTGGTGTGATATTTTGTATGGAGATAGTTGGAGGGCTGGAGAGTGACATAGGCTACTTTTTAGTGCGGTAGATTATCTCATTCCTACGGGAAAACACGTTATAATACAACCCTACTCATCATATTTATGTATATATGTATAATAGATAGTCTATTTATTCCATACTAACCGTTAAAACGTAAATAGAGACGTACCCGAGCGAAGCGGAGGTCGCTAGTAAGAATATAAATTGTATATATTAAAATGCTTAGATATTAATTTCTTCATCTGATAAGCCTGCTTAGTTACTTACTGATATAACGTTTAAAATTAAAAAAAACCCCTACGCAAATAAATTGTCATTTAACTATAACACTGGCACGCGTGAAGCACTTAAACGAGTAATCATACGCCAAAATGCCTTACATCATTTTGGAAAAGAGCTGATACTCTTACACTGGACTGGACCGATATTAAACAAAAATACACCGCAAAGAAACTGGCTTTCAAATGTAAAAAACCGCATCGAAATCGGTCCATCCGTTTGAGAGCTACGATGCCACAAACAGACACACACACAAACAGACAGACATCGACGTCAAACTTATAACACCCCTCTTTTTGCGTCGGGGGTTAAAATAATATCATTTACTTTCATATGTATATACGAGTATTACACAATAGCAAGGCTAACTGGTCGTTAGAATATTATTACTATATTATTTTAAACCCAATATTTTTTTCTTTTAATAAAGTATAGACAGTTTCAAGCCTTCGAAGGTTTTCTATGAAATTGTAGCAAAATTCGTCCTAATTAAGTACTTATGGGAACAATCTAGTGCGTACACGATATTGTATACGATAACAAAATTATCGCCGCATTCCGAACCGAGCCACCAATACCATGGCAATGTTTGTGTATAATATTACCGTGCCAATACATAGCGTTGCTCTGAAACTTAGAAATATCCTTATTCATCGATGTGATATATATTAAACTACTAGCGAGTGACCCTCGCTCCGCTCGGGTTCGTCCCTACTTATATTTTAAGGTTTAGTATAGATTTCTCAGAGATGAGATATTTTTCCGCAGTAAAAATTATCCTATATGTTGACCCGGATAACCAGCTATCTCATACCAAATTTCATTCAAATCCCTCCAATGGCTTTTCTGTGATGCGGTAACAACAGACAAATAGACAAAAATTAGATTCGGTCTCTGTATCGATAATAATGTCTATTTCAATAAGATTTTCCAAAAAATATTTAATTCTTTATAAAGACTCAATAGTCTTTATATATAATTAAATATTTTTTGCTCTTTGCTCTTAATACCTTGTATCGTACTTTCTTAGATTTACGCGAATATTTGACATTTTAAATAAAACTAATTTATCGGATTTTGTCGCGAATTTACACAGATTTTTGGTTCTCAACGCTTCGAATGCTGTACAGCAACGATTATCTGATCATTTATACTAAATATGAGCGTCACTTCCGTAACCATGATTGATGATGCTTTACAGCATTCAAAACTTTGGAACCAAAAATTAAAATGAATCTGCAACAAATTCCAAAAGATGCTTTTATTTAAAATATTGTATTGTATTCAGCCCTTTTTACATCCCAATACTGGGCATGAATCTCCTAATACGAGGAAAATCAGTTCTCAGTCCACCACGCTAGTGAATGACTTCATAAGTCTTTCGAAAGCTTGCAAAATTCTCTCAGACATGAAGGTCTAACTTACAGATATCTTAAAAAATGGTAAAATTACTCGTTCAAAACACAAAAAAAAGTAAATAGATTTATAATTTAGAAAAAACATAGCAAACCCGAAGCAAAGAAGCACACACACCTACATTTTGCAATTGAAAATTATCACTGTTAAATATATTGACAAAATTACGAAATCAGATGTTATCTTCATAATGAATTACGTACAACTGCCCAAGAGTTGTTTGTATCTGATAATAATTATCAAAGTGGCCTATTAAATTAGATCACTCGATATTTCATTCTCCATGAACTTAGACGTGTGTTGTGCAAAAATAGCGCTTAGATGAGATGGCATTCTACAATCGATATTGCTAATAGAAAACTAACTTTGTGGGAAGTAAATATTATTGCTATTTGACATAATCTTTGTTAACAATGGAAAACATATTTACGCATACCATTTATATATATATATATATATACTCGTATATATAAATTTTCATGCGCATTAAAGATTTTAAGTTGTCATCTTCTAGCACACAGATTAGAAATATTTGTTTACGATGCAATTACAAAAATATCTACGTTAATAATTAGTGGAACTAAACTACCTATACTTATATTGTATTATATTTTTCGCATAACTGCTGTCCAAACAGCACAGTATTAATCCTTTTGAGTTTTTCCTGAACAGATTTTATATTTCTCTTTTGTTTAAATAAAATATTGTCGACCTTTCCTTGTACAGGACTGCCTCGGTACATTTATACTAATATTATAAAGAGGTAAAGTTTGTGAATTTTTGACGTTATAGGGGGTAATATCTGGATCTACTGAACCGATTTAGATGAAATTTGATATGAAGGTAGTTTGAAAGCATACGATACTTTTTATCCCGGAAATCATCTTTTAAGGGGTGAAAATAGGGATGAAAGTTTATATGAGGAATCAACCTAGGGACGAACCCAAGCGAAGCGAGGGTGAGTCGCTAGTATAATATAAAAGGAATTTTATCTATCCAAACACTATGAGTAGTATAATAAAATAATTCCATGAAACAACCGTAAAAAGTTAGTCATTAGTAGATAATTACTCACTATCTCAAATGTCGTAAACAACACTGCTTCATTTTGTTTCAGACCAACGCTGATATCAAAGTGGAGTGCACCAAAGCTCGGAAACAAAATTCTGGCTGATAAAAAGTGCAGTGAAAGTGTTGTGTGAAAGTGTATGTGTGTAATGTGTATTCTTTCTTCTTCTTGGACCTCTTAAACTGACAGCTGTCAACTTGTTTTTTTTTTTGTAAAACCGTTTGGAGGCACTTGCGATTTCTATTCAGCCTCAGATGCTACACAGCCATGATTTCTTTCTCAAACCAATGCTCGTAAAACTTACTATAGAAGTCTGTAAATGTTAAAATTTCTAAGTTTAACTGTATATAATGTGTGCGGAGTATGAGTGAAGCTCAGCACAAGACCTGCGTGAGGGTGAACTCCGCTGACGACGAAGAACGAGATGAAGTGGACCATGAGTTGCCGAAGAAAAACCCTTTCGTACGGGTAAGTTTCATTTAAAACTACACCTCAAATACCAAATACACCTCCAGGTAAATTTCTAAGAGATTAATTAAATTTCTAAGAAATCTATTGTTAGCTGTAACGCCGGCGTGTCCGCGGTCGTTGAGGGATAGATATTAAACTCTATAACGAAAAAATGGAAATTCGTAAATAAAGTTTATATCTGTCCATAGAATTAAGTTTTTAAACACAGATATATTAATTACAGAATCACATTTTTAATTTTATCTGTGAAATTATCAAAAACATTAAAAACTTAGTCTATTTAACTTAGTCTATATAACTTTGAGCGGCTGTATTATGCATTTTTTTTTGACTTGTACCAACAAAACTCAGCAATTTGGTAAGTTAGTCCTCTAAATATATGTACATCTATACTAATATTATAAAGAGGTAAAGTTTGTGAGTTTGTGACAATTTAGGGGGTAATCTCTGGATCTACTGAACCGATTTAGATGAAGTTTCGTAAAAAGATAGTTTGAGACCCTGGGAAGGACATAGGATACTTTTTATTACGGAAATCATTCCTTAAGGGGGTGAAAATGGGGATGAAAGGTTGTATGGGGAACCAAGCAAAGGACGAACCCGAGCGAAGCGAGGGTGAGTCGCTAGTTTTATATAACATTATATCTATAAAAATCAACTAATGTTCCAAATAACATAATTTTTACAATATTTTTAATTGCGAATGTTACATATACATAACATTTCTTATACGTCTATTGTGCGTACATATTACAACTACATTGCTCGGGTTATTGCTCAACATACGTTTTTGTTGACACAGACAGACGTACAAATAGTCTGGTTTGCTAAGAATTGCATACTCCTTTACGCAGTTTTGTGAATGCGACATTTTCTTCTAGATTCTTTTGATGAAGACTTTAATAGTAAATAAGGTAATTTAAAATAGATAAATACATTTTTATAATGCTTAAATTAATATTTCTTTTTATTAATTATATAGATACAGAGGCCTAATTTATAATTTTCAGAATATTTGTCTATCTGGGAACGTATCACGAGAAAACCGTTGGCCCGATTTTGGTAAAATTTGGTATGATGATAGCTGGTTATCCGAGTCAACATATAGGATACTTTTTACTGCGGGCAAACATCTAATCTCTGAGAAGTCTATGCTAACCGTTAAAACTATCTAACGAGCGGAGCGAGGGTGAGACGCTAGTTTATATATGTATATATATAAATAGGCGGTCTTTTCTTTCTGTATTTTTTTTGTTACATTTTTTTCAACTGATTTTCTTTTTTTTTTTTGTTTAGTAGCTATTGACACTAGTGTCATAATATTCTTATTTTTTTTGAAAATCTTATTTTTTTAAGTAGGTAATTACTTAATTAGGTAAATTCTATTTATATATATTTTCCTTAAATATTTAATTATGATTATGGTCGAATCACTCGGCGAATACTGATACTATAAAATCGATAAAATGCATAGATGCGTAAAACGCATTCCACTTGCATTAAACATTCATTTTCCAATGAAAAACAGTAATTGATTGTTACGATATAATCTTTTCTTGACCAATATTTATTATTATTAACCCACTTCATTAAAAGGAAGTGAAGTATTTTTTATATGAGACGTTTTTTCGGGAAATAATAATAATAATATACTAAACATTTTGGGACATTAACTCACAGCACCATCTAGTTCAATGTTAAGCGACGAGGCTTGTGCTTTATGGATACCAGATAGTTGATACACTATACATAACTTTAGATACATATCTATACATACATATAATAATAAAATTGTAACTAAGCCGAAGAATCTGTACATAATATATTTTTTGGAAAAACTAATTGAAATAAACACTATTATCGATACAGAGGCCGTATCTATAGTTTTTAGAATTTTTGTCTGTCTGTCTGTTACCGCATCACAGTAAAACTACTGGGGGGATTTTGATAAAATTTGTAATGGTTATCCGGGTCAACATATAGGATACTTTTTACCGCGGGAGATTATATCTTTCTTTCTGGAATACACGTTATAAAACAATCGAAATAAATATTTATGATCAGAATTACTTGAAACTTTGTATTATTGTTATTCAATAAAATTAAATAAATACGTGTTTTAGCATTTTTCGAAATTCATTCTATAAGGGGGTAAAATAGGGGATGAATGCTTGTATGAAACTACCTTTTTAGAGATTTTTTGTAGCTTTAGCGCGAGCGAAGCCGCGGGTTTTGCTAGTATTATAAATTATAAATACAAACAAACAAACATTGATATCTCCATTTTGAAATAGGTCTATAAAACTCTTCACTATTTGAAGTCGACTGAAACGAGCCAGCTCCACTCACAGATTGATAAAAAATATTGTAAATTATGATAAAATAACAGTAAAAATGTAAACTTTCGAAACCACTCCTTCTAGGAAATGAAACTGGGAAACCATTTTTATTGAGCGAGTTTAGTAAAACAAGTACTAGATAAAGCTCTTCCTGCTGTTGAAAGGAAAAGTTGCTTTCCGTTTTTTTTTTCTTGATTATATCTAAAATACGTGTTAGTGAAAGTCTAGCTCTAAAAAAGTAGTCTTAAATGTATTACTTCTATATAAATAAATCAAATTGAATTTTCTGTTTGTAATGTCAAAATAACAACTTTTTACTAATATGCATAATATGGCAGTCTATACAGTACATAAAAGAAAAAAAAACAATTTTTATATTTTTGTCTGTCTGTATGTTCCGACTAATTTTCGAAACGGCTGTACCGATTTTGACAGGACTTCACTAGCAGATAGCTGATGTTAAAAGGAGTAACTTAGGCTACTTTTATTTTAGAAAAAGAATTAGTGGTCCGCACAAAAAAATAATTAATTCCCATGAGATTGAAGAAAATCCACGTACGAGCGTAGCAAAAGTAAGCCGCTAGTATAAAATAAAATTGCCTAAATGTTTATTTTTAGTCTTTTGAAGTTTCACATGTCACTACACTAATAATAATTGTCTTGTTGATTTGAATCTTTGTATATGAAATCCGGATAACCACTTTGTCTACCTTTAGTGAAGCACTTTTTTGTTTACTTTAACTTACTTTATTATAAACTGGTGTTTCATTTATAAATGAGCATTGAATATATAGATCTGATATGGGAAGATATTAGCTCCTGAAACACAATTTTCCAGTTCAGGAGTTAGATTTTTGTGCATTTGTTAAATTGTGTTACTTGAATAAAGTCTGTTTTTTAAATATAATAATTTTTTATCAACGAGCTGATCCGATGATGGGACCAGAAGTGGAACTCTTCAATGGCTTTCTCTCTCCCTTTCCTCTCCAACAAAATCTCCGACTCATTTTTTGGGTTTTATTATTTAAAAATTTTCTTATATAAAACTATAGTAAAAATGCAGTTTTGGCTGTCAGTTTGATTCATCATTTTTATTCAGTGTAAAGGTGTATGTAGTGTGTCACTCATCTGGATAGGTATTTTATTAAAGAACTATACTTCATGCCCACTACTCGACTCACGTTGTTCACTCATGTACAATTAATTACTCGCGTCGTGTATACGTAATTGTAGCGTGATGTTAGATGGTCTATAAATTTCCTCAATAAATTGCCTATAAAATGCAAAAAAAATCAAGCAAACAAAGAACTTACTCTATCTTTATACGAGTAATACTCGTAGTGTAGGTAAATATTATAGAAATCTCGATACTATGAGATAAGCTATATTTAATCCGAGACGTTGAGTGATTCTGTTAAAGACGTCCTAGTGATACATATAGTAAAACGTATATGTATTTAGCCCTTTTTAATGTCCCACTGCTGGGCACGAGCCTCCCTTCAATACGAGGATCAGGCCATAGTCCACTACGGTGATCAAGTGCGGGCGGACTTCACATGTCTTTTGAAAACTTGCTAGGTTCTCTCAGACATGCAGGTTTCCTCACGATGTTTTCCTTCACCGTAAGACGAGTGGTAAATATGTTAGAAATTTGAACTGGGCTACCACTGCCTGTAGCATATACTACGTATACCTATGGTAAAATTAATTTAGTAAAATTGTAATATTTCACCTTGTAGAGGAATATTAATAGGCCATTACATTTTATCTATTTAGTAAATTATGAAAAGTAGCCACAGCAACTTTTTTGTCAAAGAGTTTATATATTATATATATATAAGTGGCAGTCATATTGGAAAATATCAAAGGTGCGAGACCCGGGATTTGAACACGCTTCACTCGGTTTCATAAGTGAGTTCGTTACAAAAAAAAATTTAACTGCTCTATAGCATAGCTACGAATATGAATGTAGCTCTAACATAAAGACATTACGAAATTATTGGGATTCTTAATCGATATACCTAAAAATACCTGAAAAAATAACTCGTAACATATCCTTAATATCGAACAATTTTAAATAAAACTAGCGGCTCACCCTCGCTTCGCTTGTATTCATCTCTGTAAAAGCACAAACAAATCTATCCCATGAAAACCGATAATTTTTTCGGCATAAAAAGTAACCTGTTGTTTGACCGGCAATATAAGGTATCTGCATGCCAAATTTTACTAAATTAAGTGCATAAATTGTTTTGTACTAAGCTGTATAAGTTACTATAGTTTTTTAACTATCCCACGGGAACTCTTTAATTTTCCGGGATAAAAAGTATCTAAAATCTGAATATAGGGTACCACCATGCAAAATTTGATTTAATTCGGTCCAACAGTTTCGGAGATTAGACCGTACAAACAGAGAAACAAAAAATTGGAAAAAATCTAGAGTTGTTCTATTTTTGTTCTTACATCCCCCTGCCTTGGTTTTTAACATTTTTCTCTATGTACAGACATTCGACCTCTACAGTATTATTATATATAGATGTATAGATATATACTATCTTCAATTCTAAGCAAAGCCTTTCAGAACAGCTAGTTAGATCAGCGTAACAAATGTACATAAAGTTTATGGGCGAAATAACCATAAATATAAAATGTTATGTCGTC